AGTTTAGGGTGGGTAGCATATTTTAAATTAATACCTGTGGCAAGCAGGGTGGGGTCATTAGAACAGCTGCTGGCAAACCATAAATGGGTTGCTTAGTACTTGCATATGCTTTAAGATTGTATTATCACCTGTTTTTTCCAGTATGGATATTTGTACCATCAAGCAGCTGTCATTTCTGTGCCACAACTGCAACTTTTGTAGCTATGCGAGTGTGCATTTGCAAGTATGGTATGCTCTGTACAGAGCAATGTGGAGTAGCTGAATGTATAGAATAAGACACCAAAGACTTCTGAATGTAAAGAAAAGATACGTTGTTCCGGATAATTTCTTATAGGTATATGCAATTACAATGATAAAGAGATCTAGAAAATGTTTGTTGAGTCAGTTAATGTGTCCTCGGCTGTTTCAGTGCTATGACCTGGCCATTTGTAGTAAATAGAGACTTCTGCCACTTCTTTCTGATAGTTCCACACCTACTGGATCTCACTGCTAGCAAGCATATACCCTAAAGTTTAATATCACAGCAGGGGCTATGTGTACTGGTCCCAGAATCCTCTGCTCAGAGCAGTTTTTATTTGTGTGTAGTCCAATGGTAACCATTACAGTCATAAAGAAAAACATCCATTTCTAAGGGCTAAATTAGCGTCAGAGATTCAATTAATGAAAAATTCTGCAAAGATGTTTTGAATGGCTTTGGATGCTTGGATTTTGGAAAAAGAAAATATTGTGTCCTGTGTTTAAGGGGTTTTGTGGTTTTTCTGCCTTTGGGGTTTCAGAGGAATTCTGTGGTCAGATAGGTATGGACTGTGAGGGATTTTGCCTCCTTTGTAATGGAGGTATATTTTAACAACCTTAGCAGCAGCAGAACATTGGTTGCCAATGTCCCCCTGCTTTATCTGTGGCAGGTTAAGGTGTTATGTGTTGTGGTTGGGTCAGTGTTGGTGGTAGTTTTGCTAATAGATTAGACAATGTATTTGGATAGGGATGATCCTGCCTTAGACAGTATGGCTGTGTGAAGCTTTGGTTGCTGATTCGATTCAGCAGAGATTCACCTCAATTCAGTGGCTGAATCTCTGAATCCGAATCGAATCAGGAGACCCTTTAATCTGAATTGAATCAGAACCCTCTAAATTGATTCGGAGAGATTCGGAAAGATTTGATGATTCGGCCACAGACAAAGCTTTAAATGTTTTTTCTACATACCTCAAGGTACCAGGCGGCTCATAAATGCTGAGATACTGGGATAGATGGAGCGTCCCACAGGAACATGGGGAGCTCCCCAGCGTGCTCAGCAGCAGACCCAGAAGTGGACCAGAAGCACTTTTGGTCCACTTCTGGGTCCACCAGGGAGCACCCTGGGGACCCCCCTTGCATTTCTCCAGCTCAGCAATTGGTGCCTCTTGGGTCTGGGGGGCACCCGGTGTCCCCCCACAGCCGATTGCCAAGCTGGGAGGGTGTATTGGGGCCCCTCCATGCACTCAGCAGTGGACCCAGAAGTGGACCAGAAGGCGAGGGATGGAGAGGTGGGAATTGCATCAATGAGTTTCTGATAAAGGCTAAGCTGTCAACAGAGTCAGGGGAGAGGGAGGGCATTTTTCCTCTCCTTCCTCTTCTTCAGATATAGCAGACTTCTCTTATTGGTTCATACAGCGTTGCCAACTCTTGCAGTTGTATGGTGAGTCTTTCTCTAAAGGCTTAGCTCTTGGAGTCATTTGTTTAATGAAATAAATATATTTCTAGTGCTTGTAGTTGCAAAGAAAAGCTTGAAAACAAGGAGACCAATAAAACATGGCAGAACGCAAGTCCTTGGAATGCAGGAATGAGGCACAGTTCATTAGCTGGCGTCTTCTTGTGCTCAACATAATGCTTGAGTACTGTCCTGCAGTCTTGCTGCTGCACAGATGTGCTGAGGGAAAAGCTTCCCCAGTCAGTCCTCTTCTCCCCAGCAGACGTAGCTGAAAAACACAGGTCTTATCTATATATAGGAATCACTGTTTCTACCACTGAAAGGCCTCCATTTCAAAGGAAAAAGCACTTATTGGATAGTTCACCAGAACTGTTTTAGGACAGGACACGAAGACAATTCTTTGTCCACTTATAATTGGTTTGAGAATTTTGGATGAATTCCTGTAACTACTGGAATCTGGCTGGGACATAAGAACTAATACTCATTCTTCAAAAAGTACCATGGGAGCTTTCGTGACTAAATGTCATGATGTCATTCCCAGATGTGCTGCTTTTAGGTGCTTAGAGTAGATTGTACCATATTCCATATTAGTCAGGATATGAAATATCACCATTATTATAGGCCTCCAGCCTTCCATGGGCTTAGAAATACTCATAGTTTATGGACGTGGGGCCAGATTGCGCTCTTCTCCCCCTTCGTATATCGGTACAATGTCTCCTGAGAACAGTTCTTAAAAGATGGGCCAAGAGCTGGTTTGCTGTCCAGGCACCCTTGGAGCTTGTGCTGCAATGATGAAATTCCTCCTTGGTTTGGGTTCTTTTTCATACCTGTATTAAGCCAGATCATTTATGCAATTAAGCCGTGTTATTCCATGTAAAATAAATCACAAAAATCATCATTAGCATCAGGGCAGTGCTACTTGGAAAAATAAATCTGTTTCTTTTTCCATAGGTGTAGGCCAGACAATAATCCAAAAAGTTAAAATTGACCTAGACATGTTTTTTTAATTTTCGCAGTGTGCTATTCTTGCAGCTGGAAATTGGCAAGATTAGTAAAAAGCCTGAAAAGAATGTTGACTCCTTAGAAAATAGTTGACTTGATCTTATTTTTGCCTGCCCAGTAAATACTGTGTTAAATATTTTAACAGTCTTGTTGAGTGAAATATGGCATGTGCACCTCCTTCCCAGATAATCTGCTTGCAGAGATTTTGAGAGCTGAGGCCCCATGCTGTAACAGTCCTTTGCTGTTTGAAAATGGGATTTGGGGGATCAAAATGAATTCTGTGTCAAAATGTAGGATTTTGCAGCTTCCTCATCTCAAAACGAGCTAATTTGTCTTTTGTGCCTCATTTGGATATTGCACAAAGGATTACAACACAAAGGGAAAAAATAGCTGAAGCTGATTTACATGTAATTAATGTGTGCTGAGTCTATGAAGAAGGAAGGTTTGTCTGGTCATATCTTTAACTGGATCAACTTTACATTGACAAGAAAAGATGTGACCAAATGTCTCTTCCTTGCTTTTTCCCCCTCAGCCAGCACAGGCACACCACTACTGCATCTGAGTATGGATTTGCCTCCCTCCCCACCTTCTTCTCCCCATCCCTGCACTCCAGAACCCGCGTTCTTTGTCAAGCTATTCTTCAGCCCATCCACCTTGCTGTCCCTCAAGAATAAGCATTGTTAAGGTGATATTTTTCTAGTTATCAGGGAACATATTTTTGAGTCTCAACTGAAATCAAAAAAGAGAATTCTCTGAGGATTTTGCCTGCATAAGGACTGCAGGATTGAGCCCACAATCGACACATTCAGGAAGTTCCCACTTAAGAGTAAACTAAATTAAGGTAAGAGGTTCACCATGCTCAAAGAATTAGCATGCCCCTGAGAGTTTAATAGGAGTTTTGACATTATCTGTATTGGAACTGGGATTATACCTACTGGGTCTGACTCGCTGCAACCCTACACTGAGACCGAGGGAGCGAAGTGGGTGGATTTTACAGTATTTTACCATCCACGGCTTAGCTGTCGGAAACTACGCTAGTCACAAAGGAGTAGAGAGCCAGGCTCAGAATCAGCCTATTTGAACTTTTGGCATCAGTTAAGCTGTTCGTGACATGAGAAATAAATGTAAAGGGCTGCCGTACATGAATATAAAAACAAAGTATTCGAATAATCCATTCCCTTGCCCAGTTGCAAGTACCTCTTGCTATTTTGCAAGTATATTAAACTACTCACACTTTTAACACAGGTACTGCCATTGATTTGTCTGTCCCTTTTTCCAGTGGGAAGGTATCTTCTGGGCCTCTAGAGGAAGATCAATAAAGTGTAAGCATTTTGTTAGAAGTGAGTGCTTTGCAATATCTTCCAATATTTGGA